GCGGGATGAGCCGTCTCACTGGTCCCCTCCACCGCGGGCGCGTTAGCGTGGGCGTCCAGCAACCAGTCCTCCTCGGGGCCCTGGACGGCTTGCCTGAGCTCCTCCTCGAGGGCGGTGGTCTGAATCTCGTCGAAGGCAGCTGGGGGGGACCAAACAGCCGGCGAGCCTCCCGCTCGGCTGCCCCCCGCAGGGGCCCCGGGACCTTCTCCGGCGCCTCCCCCAGCTCTTTTGCTGTCTGCTTCGGCCTTGGCCTGGGCCCTGAGCTGAGCCACCCGCCCGTCGACCGAGGTGGGGTCGACCTTAGCGCCAGACTTCAGGCCGCCGCGCCTGATGAGCTGCGCCTGCACGGTCCAGTCCAGGCTGCCAAGCCCCTTGATGGCCTCGTGGGAGTGGGCGCAAGTCCCTGCCGCATTGGGGCAGCCAGCCCAGGTGCAGGCGTCCCAGCAGATGACCTTCCCGTTCTTGTCCCGGGGGGCATGCTTAACTGAGCGCCCGATCTCGCTGGACGTCAGCGCCTTCCCTGCTGGGTGCGCCCGGGCGGCGGGTCGCTTCTTAGCAGCAGCCTTCTTGACGGCGGCCCCTGCCTTTCCAGTGCCTGGGCCAGCTCCGGCGGGCGCCTCCTGATCTGCCGGGGTGTGTTCGTCAGCCTTCCCAGCCTTGGGGGTCCTCGAGGGGCCGGCGTGGAGGTTCTGATGAAGGAACCTCTGCAGCCGCCGGGCCTGGCGAGGGACGCACACCACCTGGTAATACCCGTCCGGTGCGTCGAGGTCGTACACGTTCGGGAATGTCAGCCACGCGCTCCCAGACGGTCCTGCAGGGGCGAGGGCGATGGTTTTGATGTCCTCCCGGCGCGGGTTGGTGAGCCCCAAGATGCGGCACACCTCCCTTCGCTTTTCCCGAAGCTGCTCGCACCAGGTTGCAGCAAGCTCCTCCCAGAGGCTGTACACATAGTCCGCTGGGAAGGCCACGTCGTCCTCCTCGTAGGCAAGGCGGAGGGTCTCCAGGGCTCGGCGTCGCTCGGGCTCGTGCATCCGCCCGTAGACCAGCCCGAAGACGGTGATGGCGTTCTCGGCCTGCCTCACCCACTGAGAGAAGACGACCGGGTGCCGGGGGCGCGGCTCGAGCTTGCACGTGGTGGGCATGGTGTAGGCGTCGAACACCTCTGCTTTGCAATGGGGAAAATCAGCCACGGAGATCGACCACTCGGCCAGATCCTTGTGGTCCCGCCCCCCCCAACAGAAGGCGGCGATGCCGTACGCCATCCTGTTCGTCACCGTCGTCGGCCAGTTCGCCGCCTGCATCACGTGCTTCGCGTGCTCGCAGGCGCGCTTGAGGCCATGGAACAACTCCCGCCCGGTCAGGGTACCGCAGACCTCTACATCGAGGGTGTCGCAGCCCCGCGCCAGGTACACGTCCAGTTCCTCGGCCCGTCCGATGGCGCCGAGGGTGCCCCGCTGCGCTACTTTCTCCTCCTCGCCGGACCTGCGGAGGCTGTCCACCGCCTGCAGCAGCCGCATGTTGTCCAGGTGCTGCTGTTCTTGACCGTTCTGGAGGACTTGCGCGTAGGTGGAGAAAGCGGCTGAGGGTTCACCTTCTCCGGCTCCTGCGGCGTATCTACGATCTGGCTGCCCTGGGGTTTTAACCCGTCCTCCGTGGCCATAAGCGCTCCTGTTGGTGAACATCTGCCCGAGATTCGGTACAAGGCCGGGCATCAAACCTGGCGGAGACAAACGAGTCGCTCCCGGCACGCGCACGCCAGGCGGGGTAGCCGGCGGCGGCAATGGCGGAGCGCTCGCGGCGGCGTCCAGCCCAGGGGGAACTCCAGGTGGGCTGGGCTCTTGGCTGGCATCGGGCTTGCGCTCGGTGTCTAGCTTCAAGAGGCCACTAGCGAGGGGTGGGTTCACCCCTTCATCTTTCTCGGCTCGGACCCGCTCCAACTTTCTTTCCCACCTGTCTATGTGCGCCTGGTACTTTGTCCGTTCCTCGGTCCCGCTGCTGCGCATGAGACGCCTGGTGTACTTGATGAGATGCTCCAAGACCACGGTGATGTCCTCGTCGTATCCTGCCGCCACGCTCTGCAGCGCGGAGGCGTCGTCCGATCCTTCTTCGTGAGCGGCGAGGTACAGCCCCAGCATGGCCTCCCCGGCGTTCTCCTCTTCGTGGTCCTTTCCCGCCGGGCTGCGTGAAGAGCGCCGAGGGGCTGAGGAGGCCAGGCCACCCTCCTCGCCCAGGCCCCACCCGACGCCGAATGGGGGCTTGGGGGAACTGCTGCGATCAAGCCTCGCCCAATGCTTCTTGAGCTGCGCGTCCAGCTCGTCGGAGGTGGGCTGCGGTACTCCGAGGGCATCACCTGAGGTGCCCGCTGGATGCCGGTACACGAGCAAGTCCCCGCGGGCCCGAAGCTGAGCCCACTGGGGGCGGCCGATACGCTTGGTCTTCCCGCCGACGGGGACCCCGTTCCAAGGACGCAGCTTCTCCCACAGGGTGCTGCTCACGACGACGCCGTGCACGCCGATCCCCATCTCCTCGGCTCCGAGTGGTGGGTGGTACAAGAGCTCCTCCAGGTAGCCTGCGGGGAGCCTGCCCTGGTCGCTGGCGACGGGGGCGTACTCGATCCCCGCGGTCTCGAGGGTGAAGCAGACGTTCTCCTGGCCTTCCGCCGAGTAATCTTTGCGGTGCGGCTCCTCCACGTCTACTACAGTCGCGCTGCCATCTCCGGTGGGCCCTCCCCCTGGACGGGACTTCCCCAAGAAGATAACCCACTGTGGGCCGGCGGCCCAGTGGACTCGCACACGTAGTACGAGAGGGTCACCCTGCTCAATCTCCTCGTCGGGGGCGGGGCTGGCGTCTCGCGGGAGGGGTACCCTCGGAGAAGGCGGCGCTTCGAACCTGACACCAACAGGCGGACCTCGCGGCGAAGCTGATGCCTCTCGCCGGTGCTGCCCAAGGGCTGCGTGTCCGTGATGGCCCTCCGGTCCCCGCGCTCCGTCTGCGGGGGGAGCTGCGTTGACTGGGACGCCCTGCTCGCGCGCCCGTGGGCTGCGGCTGCGAACCGTCCGACGCCGCAAGCCCAAGCTTGAGAGGAATCCGCGGCCCGGGACGGCTGCAGCTGCCTGCACTGCTCGACCTGCTTCCCCACCCAGATGAAGAAGACATAGTGGTACGCCCTCTGCGTTGCTAACTGCCTGGCGGTAACAAGTCACTTGCGAGCATTTGTCACGATATCGAGATGCTCGGTAAACCTGGGCATGATGTGCGCAGAGATGGGCGAACGAATTCCGCCCGTCGCTGGGTGGCGGGAGGTCTGAAGCCTGCCCGTCTTCGAAGAGCAGGGCGGTCGGCTCTGCCTCCGCGGCGCCCCTGCAACCGTCGGGTGCCAAAGGGCGAGCGCCGCCACGTAGAACGATACCCACCCGAACAGCTTCACATGGCCTGTCCTCGGCCTCCACCTCCGACTCTGACTCCTGATCCAAAACTTCTGCGATGCTCCCTGCAACGCCTGGCTCCGCAGCGCCTGTCTTGGGACGGCGGCGTCGCCGGCAGCAGAAGGAGCAACCGCAGGAAAGGATGCAGTAAAGGAACACGATCACCTTCCAGATGGCTCTCCCCAGGTCGGCGACGGTCCGCCAGAGCAAGAAGACGCCCCGGCAGGAGGTGAACCTGGCGTGGGAGCCGATGTCCACGATCGCCTCGGAGTCTAAGGCAGCGTACTCTTTACAATGAACTTCTCCAGGTTGATCTCTACAGGCCAGGTTGCGACACAGGTGAATGGAACGGCCCTCGAGCGACTCCAGTTTCTGACGGAGTGCGCGCGAGCTGGCCCCCTTCACGCCCAGGTAGTCTACCCAGAGTCCCTTCCGGTCGATCCGCTTGGGCTCCGAAAGGTCGATCTTCAGCCTGGCCACGTGGACGTCGATCTTGATCAGCACATCGTTAGGCCGCCTCCCAGTCCCACGACCCTTCACCTTCTTGCTGTAGTACTCCGTGGTCGTGGCTGGTCCGGTCTCTGGCCCCATCCAATTGATCTGGGTGAGGGCAGGCGGAGCCGGCGGCAGGTACCTTTCGGCAGCTGCATCGCCAGGCTCTCGCCGGCGGCACTTAGTGCACCGCGCCAGTAGACCGATCAGCCAGAGGGCGGCTGCGCATGGGGCCAGCAGGGCACGACAGATGTGGGTGAGGAAAGCCAGCACTGCCAGGAAAGCCAAGAGGATGAACGTCCATGCCACGGCAGGCCAAGCGGCCCCGAAGACCGTCAGGCCCAGCTTCTCGAGAGCATAGAAGAACCACCCACCATCCTTGGTCAGCCAGCCCGTCTCGGCATGGGTGGAGAAGGCGCTCCCGAGACTGTCGAGCTTCTCGTAGGCGACGCCGCCCATGCCACTCAGGCGCCAGGCCCAGGTGCCCGCACGTAGGGGCTTCAATCCCAGCGCCCAGACACCCCAGCCGCCCACCCAGGACTCCTCGCTGCCCGGGTCCTTGGGGGGGTCGCTGCTGTTGTCGACTCCTCCGGCGGCCTGGGCTGGGGGCGGGGGCGGCGCTCCCGGCGGCCCACTGTCGGGCGGCGCCTGGGGGCTGCCTGCACCTCCACCCTCCTCCTCGGGCTCGCCGATCTCCGTGCCGTACTCGGAGTCGTCGTAGTACGGCACGGTGTACCCGAACGGGGCCTCCTGGGCCGCGGCCGGGTGGCCCCAACCGGCGCGGGCGACAGCGGAGCTGAGGGGCCCGCGCCAATCGTAGGCGGCGGCGCTGGTGGCCAGCGCGGCCAGCCCGCGGGCCGCACCTGCCAGCGCGGGGCGCCGGGCAGCCATGGCACGCACGCTTCCGGGCGCCGCGGGCGCCCAGACCTCCTGAGGTCGGCTCCAGGGCTTTGAGCCCCGAAGGCTTGAGCGGGAGAGAGGGAAAGGGAAGGGCAAGCAGAGGCAGGAGCAGGGAGAGGAAAACCCAAGCCGACTGGGGAGGGCGGGGTCCAACCGTTTAGGACAAACAACTAAGAAGAGAAGAAGGGAGCGGGCGCCTCCCGGGCTGGAGGGCGCCGCGCGATCGTCGGCGCTGGTGCCAGGTGAGGCAGGAAGCACCTCACTGGTGCGGGAGAGGTGGAGGGAGGAGGTGCGTGTGTCTCCTGGGTGGGAAGGCCACACGCTGTCGCCAACGTCGTCCCGTCAACGGGACCGCTGGGCCGACGGCCGCGCCTCGGCCCTCCGTCGCCCCTGAGAGCCCCCGCGGTCGAGACTGGGCCCCTGCGGGCCGGGTCGGTCCGCTGTGCCGCCTGCCTCGGTGCCCCTGCCGGCGGCCTGGCCCTGCCTGCCCTTCACACACACACACACACACACACACACACGCGCGCACGCACGCACGCACGCACGCACGCACGCACACGCACACACACAGACAGACACAGACACAGACACAGACACAGACACACACACACACACACACACACACACACACACACACACACACACACGCACACGCACACGCACACGCACACACACACACACACACACACACACTTTGCTAGGCGCCATGGCCACGCGCGCGGCGGCGCGAGGTAGAGCAGGTCAAGCGGGCGTGCGCACTGGCCTGGCCCACGCGGCGTGGAGAAGCTGGGTTCACCCTCGGGGGTTCGACGGCGATGCTCGCACACGCGGATGCATGCCAGAGGCACGCAGGCACGTGCGCGCGCGCGCGACTGCGTTCACCCGCACATGCGCGCACACACTACGTCCTTCGATGCCGCAGTAGGAAGGCAACCGCGAGTGCATCTGCGGCAGGTCCGAGCAAACCAGTTTCTGCAGGATTCCAGAAAACAGTTTGAACAAGTTCATCAAAATAACCACTCAAAAGGCGGAATCTAATGAATTAATCCACCAGTTTGTTGAGTTCGCTCAACAATCGTTCGATTGGCCTTGCTCGAACTCATTTTTTGAACAACAACGACAACAACAACAACAACAACAACAACATATATGTGTACCACTTTATATATATATATACCTATACATATGTATATATATATATATATATCACAACCAACGGAGCTGACTAAGCCATGAGCCTGCGCTCAGGGCGGCGAGCACCAGCCGCTCTCACACGGAGGGGGGGTCCTGGCACTGGGGTGGACCTCGGATGCCGACCCCGCGGTGAGGAACTTTGGCTCGGCGTGTCCGCGCGGCGGCCCCGGCGACGCGCTGCGTCCTGCGAGCTGATGGCGCGTCGCTCGGCTCCGTGGGCCGGAGGCCTGGGAGAGGCTCGGACCGCTGCCGCCTGGGAATTCGGGAGGTGGCCCGCACGTCGCGCCGAGGCGTGGCGGCCCAGAGCACCGGCGGCGCGACACGCGGAGTAACCGCTCCTCAACAACAACAACAACAACAGCAACAGCAACAACAACAACAACAACAACAACAACAACAACAACAACAGCAACAACAACAACAACAACAACAACAGCTGGACACGCGATCAAAAACAGTCATCTCGAACATCTGGGCCAGCTTCCCGGAGGTGGCTGGAAACAGGCCTGGGCCACCTTCGGTCGTTGCCGCTGGACGGGCGAACGTGCTCCAGAACCTGGAGAATCGCTGGCCCAGCCTCCCGGGAGGAGGTCTCGTAATCATATGCTCGGCTGTGCACACAATGAACAATACTCTCCTTTCTTCCCCGAGGATGTGCCGAGAGTGGTACGCCCTCCTCCGCTTACTGTCTTTCACACAGGATTGGTCAGAGGTGGTTATCCTCGTGTGCGTTTCCAATCCGAGCGGTCTCGGTCCTTCGGAAGTAGCGCTCCAGCTGCAGCGTGGGCCCCGTTTCAGGATCGGCGCTCTGACACAGCGCGGGCCCCCTCTCGGGATCCGAATCCTTCCTCACCTTGGTCGCCCCCCTGCCATTCTCATGCGCCGGCCCCTGGTCCTCCTGCTCCTCCCACTCCTTCCACTCCAGGATCTGCTCATCCTCCAATTCTTCACCCTCGATCTCCTCGTGCTCACCCGCCACTCCCTCCTCCTCCACTGTGTGCAGCGCCCCTCCTCCCACTGCGCATGAAACGCGACGGGGTTCCGCTTGGAGTTCCAGGTCCGCTACAGCACGCGTCGGCGGAGAGAGGTCGCATTCAGCGCGGTGGGGAGGGATGGGCGGGGGGGCAGGAGCGTCAGACGATGGCGCGAGCGCTCCTGGCCTGACGTGTGCCTCTCTCCTCGTCCCGCGCACCACGCAAACGCCTCGGATGCCTCTCCCCACGCAGTCCTCTGCCAGATCTCTGCTCCACCCGTGGAGCTTCCACTTCGCCCTCTCTCGCCCGTCTCAGGGCGGCCGCTCCGTCGGCGGCCTCCTGCACAGTGCAAGCTCGACTTGCAAACTCGACAGGCGGCCAGCAACCGAAAGGAAAGTCGGACACGTTGAGGTCCGTGTGCATTCAGGGTTGGAGGCGGCTGAGGGAACAAGACGGGGAAAGAGGACCCGGCATCCGACGGCCATCTGGAGAAGCCGGCCCAGAGGGGAACGGGGAGCGCAGCCTGTGTACAATTGTGCCCCTCCCCCTCCCTCACGGCTAGAACCAGTGATGCACGACATCGGCCCCCCAGCCGGCTCCCAGTTCAGGGAAAGCTCACAAAACAAAGACGCCATAGTGTAAGCTGGGAGGAGGAAGAAGATGAGGAGGAGAATGATAGGACGAGGGCGTGGCGGCTGCGTGTGCGTTGCGAAGGGGCGGACGATGGAAATATGGAGGGCACCGATGGAGAGGATGTTGCGAAAATCCGCCGGCCCCCATGGGGGCCAACAGACTGCAATGGCGAGGCTTACATGCCCCCTTCAGCAGTTTCAGTGCAAAGGCGTCAGGTGTTGTAAACTCTGGCTATGTTTCCAAGCCCGTTGCCAAACGCGCGACCCCCCCGACCCCAAAGTGGTGGATTTGAACGTCCCATACAGGTTATCAAAATTCTGGGTGGCCCTGGGACATGTTAAAACAGTAGATCCACGCGCACGAAATCACAATCCCTTGTAAATTACGTCACGCTCGTGCTGCCGATGCCACAGTCACTCGCAAACTACTACCAAATCGCGCTCCCGAGGCCGTAACTCTTTGGAATTAGCAACTGAATCGCGCTCCCGAAGCCACTATCCATGCAAACTGCATCAGATCGAAGCAATAACCCGTAGCACATGAGGACGCACTCTCTCTCTCTCTCTCTCCCGACGTCACAACCCATTGCAAATGACGACGCGCTGGCACTCGGATACGGATACGGATACGGATCGCCTGTGCGGGCATGCGCCGGGGCCCCTTAAAGGCGAGGCGGGTGAGGCCATGGCCTCGCATGAGAAGCTGCGCGCGTCGGGGGTCTACTCAGGACGACGCGCTGGCACTCCCAAGCCACAAAGCATATTCAATTTCAACCAGCTCGCTCCCCCGAAACTACAATCCACAGGAAATTACGTCACTGCTGCGCCCCCGAGGCCACACTCCCTTCCAAATGACATCGAGCTCGCGCTCCCGAAGCTGCAACCCATAACACATCACGTCACGCCCGCGCTCCGAGGACACAGTCCCTTGCAAATTTTCCGACGCCGTCGCGCTCCCGAGGCCAACAATCCTTGGCAACTTACGGCTAGGAGGAGGAGGGGGGGGGAGGAGGAGGAGGAAGAGGGGGGGGGAGGAGGAGGAGGAGGAGAAAGAGGGGGAGGAGGAGATGGAGGAGGAGGAGGAGGAGGAGGAGGAGGAGGAGGAGGAGGAGGAGGAGGAGGAGGAGGAGGAGGAGGAGGAGGAGGAGGAGGAGGAGGAGGAGGAGGAGGAGGAGGAGGAGGAGGAGGAGGAGGAGGATCGCGCCCGAAATCGCGCTCCAGAGGCTACAACCCTTTTCAATGGCAGCAGGCTCGCGATGCCGGGGCCGCCCCGCATTCGAACACTGGGACGTGCTCGCGATCCCAAAAGGCCACGGTCTCTCGCGAAAGCGTGCCTCCGAGTCAGCGAAGCCCATCAGATTACTTGGGAAACGCGCTCCCGAGGCCACAATCCCTGATGAATTGCGACGGACGCGCGCAACCAGCCAACCAAAACCGACTGTCAACAATATATGTGTACAACATGCCAACCAGCCGAGCTGGCAGCCAGCCAACCGACAAGCCAACAACTTAACCGACCGAAGAGGCCTAGCCAAGCAAGCAACCAATTCGGGGGCGCGGTGGAGGGCGAAGCCCCTCACATGAGAAAAAGGGTACCCGCCAGTCGGAAGAAGTACGTGGAAGCATTAAGTAGAAATGCGGATGAAGCAGATTGGGTTCGGGCCCACCCACATAGCAACAAGCAACAATAAGTACATCTGGACTCTTGAGTTAGGAAGGCGCTTGAAAGATATCGGTACCTGGATCTCCAAACATACAACATACTTTCAACGACCGGCGAGTAAATGAGGAGGGGAGGTACGATGATATCAGAAGCAGGACGAGGGGTAGGAAGCACTGGGGAAGGAAGCATACGCCCCGAAATCTGACGTCAAAGACCAAAGCCCCGGCCGCAGATCCCAACCCCATCTCGATGCGCCGTTCCTCGGGCCACGTCGACTGGCGGGGATCCTGTGGCCCGAAGCGATCGGAGAGTTCAGTCGTTTGTGTATGCGTGTGGGTTTGTGCGCGTGTGTGTGTGTGTGGTGTGAATGTGTTATGGTGTGCATATTGTTGTTGTTGTTGTTGGTCGTGGCGGCGTTATTGTTGTTATTGCTGATATGGCTGGTGTTGTTGATATTGTTGATATTGTTGTTATGTTGTTGCTGTTGTTGAACTCCCTTTTCAAAGGGAACAATCATGTTGATCCACCCTCGGTGCCCATGATGTCTCTATTCAAGAAAAGCCCCTCCAAGGGCTCGATGTTTTTTCTACACGGGAAAATCTTGGGGCTCAGATTGCGCCTGGCCCCTGGTTCACAACAATAACGGTTCCCGCCTGATACTTCCACACAAATTACTTGACGATCGCGTTCTCGCGCGGGACTTCCTCACAATACATGCAGAAATCGCGCTTTCGCGTGGGACATTCATGCAATTTATGAGACGCCGCGCCTTGGACACTCCGCAATCACGCTCTCGCTTTGGCATTTCTTAAACAATGACTTGGGAATCTCGCTATCGCTCGAGACATCCTCGCCATTCATGCAAGACGCACGCTTCATCAACCCGCTTGCTCAACCTGGCCGCCTGGGCCCGCCTTCTGACGCGCCCATGCGGGTCAACCCGCCCGATATGCCCTAGCCACGTGTTTTCTGCTCCTAGCCCCACTGCTGCTAATTTCTCTCGTGCTCCATCCTTCCAACTGTCCTCGATTGTGATAGACGTATTGTGAATGGCGCGCGAACGTATGGGATCGAACAAGTTTATAACGATTGCGGTTGCGTGCGAATTGTCATTTCCAAAGAGTGATTCATTTTGATCCCCCCGCCCGGTGCCCATATCGTTTTTCAATTAGAAGGCTCCTCCCGCGACTCGACGACGACGACGACGACGAGGACTTAAAAGAGATGGAAGGTAGCGGCCGCGGCCCTCGCGCTGTGATACCTGGAGAGCAGCTTCCGCGGCGGTGGACTCTTTGAGCCAGCAGCGGCTGTGCCCACGCCGAAGACCCTCATTCCTGCACGACCATGTAGCAGGCAACCAACAGAAAGACGCAGTAGAGCAGCATCATGGTGATGCCGAGGGCCTTGTTCAGGACCCACCTGCGCTTCCTGGGCCCCTCCGCCTCCCCACCCTCGTTCCGCCTACCCCCCGGACCCCCGACGTCATGATTGTTTCAAACCATCGACCCCCCAGAATTCTCGACCCACTCCACGGAACCAACTTTTCATCCAGAATCGTTTGAAAATAACAGAACACCTCCCGTCGTGAATGTTCAGGACTCAAAGGGGATCTCGCCTTCTCCTCCTCCTTCTCCTCCTCCTCCTCCTCCTCCCTGTCCTCCCCCTTCTTTGGCGACCCCCTACCACTACCTCCCCCGCCCCAGTCGTTCCCCAATCCCACATCTCTCTCACTCTCTCCTCATCCGTTCCCTCCTCCTTTCCCTCCTCCCCCTCCCCTTGCTCCCCCCTTTGACTTGACTGCCCCCGACTACTTCTCACCCACCTTTCCCTCCCTTGTCGTTCCCCTCCTCCCTCTCCCCATCCTTCCGATTCGGCCCACCTCTCTATCTCCCTCTCGTTTCTCCCACGTCCCCCTCTCCTCGCCCATCTCCAACGACGCGTCGAGTAAATGATCCACAAAGGCCCAACTTTCTACGACGACGGGGGGAGAAACGGGGAATGGCGGGAAGGGGGAGGAGGAGGACGAGAAGGATGAGAGGAAAAACAATGACGAAGAGCGACGACGAGAAAAATGAGGGTGAAGAGGAGGAGGGGTAGGAGGAGGAGGAGGAGGAGGAGGAGGAGGAGGAGGAGGAGGAGGAGGAGGAGGAGGAGGAGGAAGAGGATAACAGGGATTACAGCCATCGCGTAGCGATAGAAATTCACTCCACCACTCAAGCATGCGTTCGAGGCTCAGATTGCCGAACGCAGGCCTTGGGGTGCAACCCGCGAGCAACACGAGCAAGGCCTCCAACACCCTCGACCGCCAAGCCCTCCTGCAGGAAGTGCACGAAGAGTTGCCCGCCCTCGCGCCCTGGGTTTCCTCGTGCTACCGCGCCACCTCTTTCTCTGGCTCGGCCAGCATTCCATCGACTCAGAGTGCGGCGTGCAGCAAAGAGACCCCCCGGGTCCACTGCTCAACTCTTCGGCACTGCAGCGCGCCGCGGAGAAGGCCCTCCGCCAGCCAGCCCCCGCGGCCGAAGGCGCCTTGGACCTGACCTTTTTCTTCCTCGACGACGGCGCCTTGTCGGGTGACTGGCGCGCCGCGGCACGCCCCCTCAGCCTGCTGGCCGGGGAGCTGACCGCCGTGGGACTCAGCCCGAGCACGGGGCCCGGCAAATGTGAGGTAGCCCCCGCCAGCGGCCCGCGACAGCGAGGTGGACCTGCAGGCCTTCCCCCGGGGTTTCCGCCTGCGCACGGGCGGCGGATTCGAATTCTTGGGCGCCCCAGTCGGCGCCGACGCTTTCTGCGGCGAGCACACCCAGCAGCGAATCGACAAGGCCACCGAGCTCCTCGAAGCGCTCGGGGAACTCGAGAACGCCCAGGCAGCGCTACACTTGCTGCGACAATGCGCTGGTTTGCGCTGCGCGGGTTGTCCCGCCCACCGTGCAAACAGAAGCGCTGGTTGTCCTCGACAACGCATTGCGTGCCAGCCTCGAACAATTGAGCAGCAGCTCCCCCATGGACGAATCCTGGGTGCAGGCGCAGCTCGGCGCTGTGGGCGCGGCCACGAGGTCCTTCAACGCGCGGCTCCCGCAGGCGGACAGGATCGAGTTCGACGCCGGCCAGCGCGGCGACCAGCCGAGCCTCTCTGACAAACTGGGCGGCGCCGCCAAGGCCGAACTCTGGGAGCGCTCCAGCCTGGCAACCAGGGCCCACCTCTCGCTGGTGAGCGCCGAGGGCGCTTGCGGCTGGCTGCAGGCGCGGCCCTGCGCCGAGGTCGGCGCGGCCTTCCCGCAAGGCCTGATGCAGATCGCTTTACAAAGACGCTTGCGGGTGCAGTTAGCGAGCGAGGGGGCCTTCTGCCCGGCCTGCGACGGAGTTCCGGATGTCTACGGGGTCCACGCGTTGGTGTGCCCCTGCCGCGGGGACCGCGTGAAGCGACACAGCGCCCTCTGCGACGAGACTTTCTTTACCGCGCAGGCAGCAGGCTTTCCTGGCGCCAAGCTCGAGCGGCCAGGTCTGCTGCAGCCCCGCGAGCGAAGGGAGGGGGCCGCCTGGGACGGAGGCCAACGGCGGCGAGCTTGACGAAAGCGACCGTCGCCCCGCGGATGCGTTCATCCCCCGCTGGCGCAATGGCGCCCCGGCCGCCCTTGACTTCGCGGCGACGTCCGGACATCGGGGCGACCTGCTTGCAGCGTCTGCGGCCGCGCCACGCGCCGCCGCCGAGCGCAACGAGGAGCAGGGGCGCCAGTTCCTCGACGCGGCGCGAAGCTGCAGCGCGGCCGGCGCCACCTTCGCCCCCGCGGTGATGGAGGCGCGCGGCGGCGCCCGAGGCAAGGAGGCGCGTCGCGCATTAGCCGCCTTGGCGAAGCGCGCGGCAGACGCCGCGGGAGAGGGCCCCGCCATCGTGGCGGCGGAGCACGCCCAGCGACTCGCTACTCCTCCAGAAAGAGAACGCGCGGGCCGTGCTCCGCAGGCTGCAGGCCCCGGGCAGGGTGTCCGCAGCCAGGCCGGCAGCGGCCACAGCTGCTAGCGCGGCCGCCGCCGCCTGAGCTGCGCGCCGACCCTGACCCAGAGCGGCCCCGACGCCTTCCCCCAGCAGTCCCCCCCCCCTCCCCCTAAACCACAACCACCCCGGACCCCGACGCCGCGCCCTCCCCCCCCGACGACCGCGACCGCCACCGACGCCCACGACCACGACCGCACCCGGCGCCCCGCCCTGCCCAGGCAGCGCGCCGAATCCCCGTTGCCCTGGCCGCGACGACGACGTCGGCCCCCGACCACTCGACCACCCGCGACAGCCCCTCCATCCCTGCTGGCTCTGCGCTGCTTCTGCTGCCCCCCTCCCTCCTCCTGGTCAACGTTTGTCTGCTGTGTGTATTTTTCCCCCCGCCTCATTCCTCTGCTTATTCTTCTTCTTCTTCTTCTTCTTCTTCTCCCCCCCTCCTCCCCCCCCTCCTCGGCTGGCCGGGCGGTGCCTTTTTGCTGAGCTCGGCGGCGGGGGCGTTTCCGCCGCCCCCCCAGGGCGCCTGGGTCACGGGCGATCGCCTTGAGGCGGGCCTGGGCTTCAAACATTGATTTTTTTTCTAGAATTTGAAAACAGTTGGATGGGCCCGAGGCCCCTTTCAGCCCCTGCCCCCCCCTGCGCCCCGCCCTCTGGCACTTGACATAGCCCTCCTCCGCGCGCGCACCTGCGCGCACCTAGCGACAGGCCGCAGTCGACGCGATCGAGGCACTCGCGCCGAGCCTTGGAAATAGGCAACGTGCATACGATAGCGAGACCTCTGAGCTGGGTCTGGCTGCAGAAACCGCAAGCGTTACATGACCAAATGCCAAGACTGTGATCACACACTAGGGCGCGTGATGGGCGGGACCAAACATCAGCGACATGCATGCGGCGTCCCGCATGGGCCCGAAACGCACGGCCGTCCAAGGAAACGACTGGAAATCACTCATGTTTCAGCCACCCCGTCCGGGTGGCAAAACTAGCAGACCCTCGGCACAACGCGCAACTTGCGCCGTCCTCGGCCAGGGCATGGGAAGTTCCGAACCGCGCAACAACAGAGGGGAAGCAGGCGGAGGAGAAGGCGGCAAGGAGGGGGGCTGGCGCTCCTGTCGTTCCTCGCGGTGCGCCAGACGCGCATCCCATCGGCGCTGGGCCTCAGCGGCCGCTTGGACCTGCTGATGCCGGTCGCAACTCAGGGCTGTCCTCAGCAACCCCCTTCGCACAAGTAATACCTTTTGCTCTGTCATGGCCCCCCGGTGCCGCTCGATCTCTGGAACTCGGTGATCATCTGCGGCCTGCTGTGCTAGCCTGTCGACGATCTCGTTCCCTTGCACCATCCACGCTGGGCTTTGGCGCCGAACGACTCCCTCGGGTTCGAGACGGGAGGGGACATGGGCAACCACGATCTTCGCGACAGGCCTATGCTGGAGTAGGCGACCGATCTGCCGCCAAAGTTGCGAACATCTAAGGGCACCATCCACGACGCACTCCCTCGCAATCCGTCACGTAGATAATCGAACCAGTAGTGCATCTGACCGCCAGTTCGAGAGCTGCCAACTCTCCTTTGGCCACCGTCTGCACACCTCCTATGAGCGGGCGCGACCGCCTCTCGAATTCACGCAAAGCTGCTGCTGGCGTCCCGCGGCCGAGATAACCGGGACCAGCTCCTTCGCGCTAGATCGCCGCCATTCCAACACTCATGAGAGGCCGACGGTGGCGACTGCGTCCATGGCGTTGGCATGATACCTCGGCTCCAAAAGCACGCATGTGCATCATGGTCAGCACGGGCCTCTGGCACGTGCTGGTCTGAATCGGCGAACGCGCGATTGCCGATGTTGCGACTGCACGACCAATGCCTGTGGACGTCGGACTCTGGAGACTCAGAAAACCGATCGCAAACACCAGTAGAGCACGCGTTGACTGCGTGCCCCCGCGCCTCCGCCCATACACCTGCAACAGAATTCGCGAACGTCATTTTAGACAACTGTTTTCCCTTGTTCACGTGCTGCAGGCCACGTGTAAATTTCCCCACGATCAAAAAGTCAGCTCCATGCCCCAACCCCGCTCCACAGCGCAGTTCACCGGCACTGCGCCATTGCCCCAACACAGGGCGCCCCTCAAACTCACGCAGAGGGTCACCCGCCTGGTCAAACTCACAATCTGCACCGACGTCGAAACGCCACGCGCGCTGTCCATTCTAATTCGGCAGCGCCCACCCCGATGGAGCCCCAGGGCCCCAGCCCGCCTGCAAAAGATAGGCCGCCGCAATGGGAATGCGCCATCGAATGAACCTTGACATCTGAACTTCGGGAACGCTCTTGAGCCTTGGACCTCCTGCGCCCAGGCGCGATGGACACCGGGCCTGGCCTTGGGCCCCGTGATTCACGCCTGCAGCCGCTGAGCCTGACACTGACGAGGGGGTAGAAGTACT